GAGAGGAGGAAGACATGAGAGAGAGACGAGACGACCGAGAGTCCCGATGAGGAGCAGAGAGAGACGAGAGCAGAGGAGCAGAGCGTGAGAGAGCGTGGGGCGAGAGCGTGCGTCTGCCGAACGCAGGGACCCGACTAACGTGCGTGCACGTGCCCAGAGGAAGCCCGACGTAGCCCAAAGGCAAAGCACGTCTAGACTGCCATGGCCCGCGCACCCCGTTGACGAAACTGGTACAGGCACTTTTGATGGACTTTTACCTCGTATTTGTTTGACCATAGACGTTATAGGCGTGTGTGTGTGCGGCCGGTGCCCGTGCCGTCGCGTCGCGTGCGCTGCGTGCGTGCGTCTGCTACGTCTGCTGCCTGCTGCTGCGCTGCCGTGCGGGCCGTGCGTGCGGCGTCGCCGTGCAGTGCGTGTACGTCTGCTGCCTGGCTGCGTGTCGTGCGGTGCGGTGCACCGTGCGGTGCGTGCGTGCGTGCGATGTGTGCGTGCGTCGTGTGTGTTTCGCTGCGTGTGGCGTGCGATGGCCCGCCGCCCGGCGTGCGTGCTGGCGCCGACGCGTCGCGTGCGCTGGTGCGTGCGTGCGCCCCCGGTGTCTGTGAGTACAGAAAGTGTATGTCTGCCCAAGAGGTAAAGGAAGCGGAGTTCGCCAAGAGATGTGGTCAAGTGTGAGAGTGCTGTAAACAGGAGGAACGCATCGAGAAGCGGTTGCGTTATTACGGCGAGATAGCAATGGTTCGGGCGAACGATAGCAAGGGGGCGTATTACTTGAGCGTGGTGGAGGCGTTGCTGACGCACGCCTATATTCAGCAGCAGCGACCGCAGCAGCCAGCACTCAGCCATCATCATCATCAGCAGCAGCAGCTCAGCAGCAAGCAGAAGCAGCACCACCACCAGCGAGTAAGCACAACAACAGCCATCAGCATCATCATCAGCAGCAGTAGCAGTGCAGCAGCAGCACCACCAGCCAGTAGCAGCCAACAAACCGCCAGGCAGCAGCAGCCAGCAGTAGCAGCTACCAGCCAGCAGCAGCAGCTCAGCATCATCATCAGCAGCAGCAGTAGCACAGCACCACACCAGCAGTAGCAAGCGCACACCAGCAGTAGCAGCAACAAACAGCTCAGCAGCAGCAGCAGCATCAGCCATATCATCAGCCAGCAGCAGCAGCACACCAGCAGTAGCAGCAACAACAGCAACAACCGCATCAGCAGCAGTAGCAGCAACAACCGCAGTAGCAGCAGCACCACCACCACCACCACCAGAAGCACAACTCACACCCACACACACACACTCTATTGCAGTACTCCGGTGCAGCTACCCCAGCCCTGAGCAGCTTGCCACCAGCGAGCCTAGGTGTGTCTACAGACGAGGATTCTGCCGGACATGAGGAGCGTGCTAGCGCTGCTGGTAGCTGTACAGGGGACCACGACCACCAGCAGCTGCCCTGCACTGATCCTGAGCCCTTCGTGCTGAACGCTGACACGTACGAAGGAGTACTCCCGCTAGATTTTCTAGGTATTGGAGCAGGGATGCCGGCTTGTCCTGGTTAAGGGAGGTGCTGGAAGGAGGAGAAGGAAATGGAGAGAGTGATGAGAGAGAGGAGAGAGAGAGAGAGAGAAGAGAGAGAGAGAGAGAGAGATGAGAGACGAGAGAGAGAGACAGAGAGAGACAGAGAGTATCTATATACATCTATATAATGATATATGATCTATATCTATTATATACTTCGATTATATACCTCGTATAATTAGGTATTATTAATTCATTAATTCTTGATTACCTCTGCCCAACAGAGTTGTAGGAGGTTATGTTTTCGCTCTCATGTGTTCGTGTGTTAGTGCATGTTTGTGTGTTAGTGTGTTTGTGTGTTCGAGTGTTCGCGCGATCGATATTAGCGCGTCGAGGCATATGGCGTATGTCGTTGGCGGTCGATCGATATCACCCAGCGAGCCAGCGAGCCCAGCGAGTAAGCTCGCAACACCATTACATGTTACATGGGAGCATGTACATGTCAGTACGCTGGCTATATCGTGGGTTATTCGTGTGTTCGTCAGTCGCATGGCGTATGGCGTATGTTGTTGGCGGAGGTATGCACTCTCCGTGAGTGCCCTCTATCTATAGTTATGTATAATATCTATTATTAAAGTGTCTTCGTTGTGTTTGGCAGCAGCAGATGTGAACAACGTCGAGAGCGACCTTCAGCGAACTTGCACCCTACGGTGTGATACATGCTTCACCAATCTGCCGCCAGCGACTTCAACGCCGCCGATCTGTTCAGTTGACCCCGCCGATCCCAAATTTGGGTTTTCTGACGTGACAGCGACGTCCATGTTCTCGTGTAATCCCTCCGTGTCCAAACGCTGTGTCCGTCCTGTGTTCTCTGAAGCCATTCCATCACTGCTCACTGATAGTGGGCGCGTTGCTACGACAACTGCATCGCCACCACTCACTGCTAGCTCGCTGCAACCCTACACAGTGGCTCCACCATTTACCGCTGGCTCACTGCCTGTCTCGCCCACTTCAACCTCGGATTACTCTCTTGTGACAGTTGTGACAGAACAGTCAAGATGGATACCACCAATAGCACCAAAAAAATACTCGTGGTCCGGCTGCACGATGAGAAAAGGTAATAGCAACAAGTCAAGTAAATGGTAACAACGTAGCAGTAGTGACAACACAGTATAGTGATGCAACGATGACAAAGATGATGAGAAAGATGTGACAATAAAGATGATGTGACAATGATCACAAAGATGATGAGGAACATGTGACAATGAAAACAATATGACAATGACAAAGATGTTGAGAAAGATGTGACAATGATGACAAAGATGATGAGCGAAAGATCTCTCACTCTCTGCGTGTGTGTGTGTATATATGATATATATGATATATATATGATATATATGATATATATATGATATATATGTTTTTTTACGGTGAGGGTGAATTGTTTGATGTGTGTGATGATGATGGGAATTCTGGTGTGTATGCGGTCTAACGCGCTTTGTTTGCACTGCAAAGGAAGGACGTCGTACATGAGCCGTTCATTTAATTATATGTAGCCTGTCAGATCAAAACATGCCGTAGGACTCAATTCGGACATTATGAGTTAGTAGTTTTATATCAGAAAGACCATTCAATTCTGGTTATTTTGACACCAAGATCTTCTTCACTAGGTCACATGGTTCGGAAGTTATGAGCATTTGAGTAGTTGGAATCGGGCCAATTTTGGAAAACAAAGTTCAGAGTAAATAGGTCATAAGTTTGTTTTCATTTGGCCTTCATTTAGACAAAAAATCTGAAAAAATATCTTACTGCATATTACACTTTTGGCCAGTTTTATTGATGTAACATCGAACATGGAAAACTACTAAAGGTATTTATGACCAAAAAAAAAATCGTTTTTTTACTACTTTTAGGTGAAAAATCACCTATAACTCAGAATGAACATTGAAGTCCTACGGCATTGTTTTGCTCTGACAGGCTACATATGTTTGACTATGCCTATACCTTTCAGCCCGGCCAATATTCTCAGACTGAATCTAAATATGTAGCATCATCTATAGAGATTTATCCGTTATACGCGCACAACAGATACACGTGCGGATGGGATCCTGTTCTTTTACAAGTCAATATATCTATTTGTGGCAAAGCTATATTGTGATTAGGTGGTGGGGGGGGGGATTGCAGAAACAAGGTGAAAGAACAATTAACATAATATTGCTAATTAATAATTAACACGCAGTTATATCTACTTGGAAACATAATATTGGCAACGATAAGTGTAAATTCGATTTTGTGTGACCGCGGTGTCATTATGTGGGAGCAAATCGAGGTAAACGATCTTGATAATTTACGATAACTGTGGCACCAGCAGTTCTGAGAATGACATCGGGTCTATGGGACCAAGGTAGGGCGTCGTTTATAAAAAAAAAACCGTGAACATACATCGTATATTATAATGTGATTACATTCAAACGCACGCGCGCACAAACCCATATTTTGTTATATATAGATATATATATTATATAATCGTGTTTCCGCGTATGTGTGCGTGCATGCGCGTTCTTGCGAATAATACCATATAGTTGTTTGTTTTATTGTGTTGTTCTTTTCTATGTGTTGAACGCAAGTGGGTAACGAATTGTGCATTCGTTGGAAACAGTATATTATAGTACAAATAGAAGTTTGGGAGCTGTTTCATGCATGTACGATTCGTTATGCAGCCGTGAGTATAGAACGATCGAGCATGATGTACCGTATTTTTTATTATATATATATATATATATATATATGTATATCTCAGGAGAATTACAGTGAATATTATTTTACCTTTCTTTTCAGTACGTCTTGAGTTCGTATTATTTCTTCGTTTTCCATTTATGTATGCACGCGCGCGCGCTTGTGTGTATTTTTAGAACGGCAGACTTATTTCGTTTTGTATTGATTGGCCAAGCCCATAGCCGTCCAGCCAACGCGTGTTTGGAACGTGGCGACATCTATTGTTAGAAAATGATTTATATCTATATTCTTCACATTTCCACATTGCATTTGTTACTGTAAAAACATTAATATATAAGCCTAGTATGCCGTAATAATTAAAACACTATATAGATAATATAAAATATTTCTTATATTCTTACTTATAAAAGTATTTTTTTATATTAGTTTGTTGTAATAAGAGTTGGCTTGACATGGTCTTGTACAAATATGCGCTCGCTATCTTTCTATAATATATAATCGCGCTATCGTTCTATACACACCCTTCTTCGAATGTCGAGCACCGCGACACTATACACCTGCGAATCCGATTTCTTTTACGAATTTAGAAGTCAAATACTCGCCTACCGACTAATGAAAGTATGAAATTCGTGGAACACAAACAAATTATAGTGTTAGTGTGCATATATAGACACATCGGCGTGCTAGGTACGGCGGGATACGCGGGCCTTATCATGCCGTGTAGGTCTTGCAAACCGGCGGACCGTTAGCGTATAGTTCTTGGAAAGCGGCAGGGTGTCCCATCACGAGATTGCTGTCACGCAGGACTTTCTCCTGGTAGCGAAGGTCGTACTGAATTTCGCTCATCTGCTGCTTGCTATCTCTATATATAGTAATATATATATATAAATATATATATATATATATATATATATAATCTTGATACAATCAAGAGCTAATAATACCAAATACGAATAAGGTATTCTTAGCTCGTGATGTAATTTGTTAATAATATAATACTTTATATTGGCGTGAAACGTCTATATGTTATGCTAGGTGGATGGCAAACCAGACTTGATTGAAATACGACATGAAGTTATCAGGCAATGGGTTGTGATCGTTTTCCTCACGTGCCACAACACTTACTCACGCTCACACGCACGCACGCACGCACGCACGCACGCAC